TGGGGGTGAGAGAGAGAGAATTGTAAAATCAAATAGAGGGAAAGAATACGCATCACATACTGGAAAATAATGATTAGTAAAGTGGTTGACTTCTCATCAGAAATACCCAACCAAAAGACATTATCAAAATACTAAAAATAATAATAATAAAAACTACATATACAGAGAAAATATCCTTCAAAAATAAAAACAGAATAAAATGGTATAAAACCATTATCACATAAACAAAAACTAATATCCTTCAAAAATAAAAACAGAATAAAATGGTATAAAACCATTATCACATAAACAAAAACTAAGAGAATTTGTCACCGGAACCCCATACAAGAAAAATGTGAAAGAAAGTTCTTCAGGCAAAGATGAATATGAATCTAAATGTGAAGTAGATCTACAAAAAGGGATGGTGAACACCAGAAATAATAGCTATAACAAATAAAAACATGATTTCTCTTCTGAATTTCCTTATAAGATGATCATTTTAAAAATAAATAATAGGGCCGGTGCTGTGGCTCACTAGGCTAATCCTCCACCTTGCGGCGCTGGCACACCGGGTTCTAGTCCTGGTCGGGGCGCTGGATTCTGTCCCGGTTGCCCCTCTTCCAGGCCAGCTCTCTGCTGTGGCCAGGGAGTGCAGTGGAGGATGGCCCAAGTGCTTGGGCCCTGCACCCCATGGGAGACCAGGAGAAGCATCTGGCTCCTGCCATTGGATCAGCGCGGTGCGCCGGCCGCAGCGCGCCAGCCATGGCGGCCATTGGAGGGTGAACCAACGGCAAAAGGAAGACCTTTCTCTCTGTCTCTCTCTCACTGTCCACTCTGCCTGTCAAAAATAAATAAATAAATAAATAAATAATAGGGGCTGGTGCTGTGGCATAGCGGGTAGAGCAGCCACCTGCAGGACTGAGATTCCATATGGGCGCCGGTTCAAGTCTCAACTGGTCCACTTCGCACCCAGCTCCCTGCTATGGCCTGGAGAGGCAGTGGAAGATGTCTCAAGTCCTTGGGCCTCTGCACCTGTGTGAGAGACCTGGAAGAAGCTCATTGCTCCTGGCTTCTGATTGGCCCAGCTCTGCCATTGCAGCCATTTAGGGAGTGAACCAATGGATGGAAGACCTCTCCCTCTGTCTCTGACTCTGCCTCTCTGTAACTCTTTCAAATCAATAAATAAATCTTTTTTAAAAACATACATAATTGTAATATATTGTAGGATTTATAATATGTAGAAGGAAAATATAATACAACACATTTAAAAATGTGATAGAGGCGGGCGCCGCGGCTCAATAGGCTAATCCTCCACCTAGCGGCACCGGCACACCGGGTTCTAGTCCCGGTCAGAGCGCTGGATTCTGTCCCAGTTGCCCCTCTTCCAGGCCAGCTCTCTGCTGTGGCCAGGGAGTGCAGTGGAGGATGGCCCAAGTGCTTGGGCCCTGCACTCCATGGGAGACCAGGATAAGCACCTGGCTCCTGCCTTGGGATCACTGCAGTGCGCCGGCTGCAGCGCGCGGCTGCAGCGGCCATTGGAGGGTGAACCAACGGCAAAAGGAAGACCTTTCTCTCTCTCTCACTGTCCACTCCGCCTGTCAAAAAAAAAAGTGATAGAAATAAATGAATGTTTATTGATGTAACGTTGTTACACTTGAAGCAACATAATATTAATTCAAGGATACATACTTAAATTAAAAAAAAATTAAAAAAATAGAGATTTTAAAAACAAAGCAAAACAAGTGTAGCCAGAAGAAGACAGAAAAGGAGAAACTAAGGAAGAAACAGGACTGCAGGACTGATCTTCCTTGAAGTGGCCTTAGGTGATCAGTGAAAATGCTTCACTACCCGCATGACCCAGAAAACCCCGCCAAATCATGCACATCAAGAGGTTCAAAACTTCGTGTTTACTTTAAAGGCATGCATAACAGAAAAGCCACCAAGTATCTGAAAGACGCTACATTAAAGAAGCAGTATTGCCATTCCATTGTTGAATGACGGAGTTGGTAGGTGTGCCCAAGCCAAGCGGTGGGGTGGCCCAAAAAGAGTGCTGAGTTTCTGTGACACATGCTTAAAAATGCAGAGAATAAGACAGCTTCAGGGGTTGGATGTAGATTCTCTGCTGATTGAACATATCCAGGTGAACAAAGCACCCAAGATGCACAGCCCTATACCTAGAGCCCATGGTTGGATTAACCCACACACAAGCTCCCTGTGCCTCACTGAGATGATCCTCACTAAAAAAGGAACAAAGTGTTCCTAAACTAGAAGAGGAGGTGGCACACAAGAAAAGGATATCCCAGAAAAAACCTGAAGAAACAGAAACTCATGGCTTGGGAATAAACTCAAAGGGGAAAAAAGAAACAGAACTAATAGAAGAGAAAAAATAGCACGACAATTGACACAACTATATGAATACTTATAACAAATATATAAATGAAATAGACACTGTAATTAACAACTATAAGTTTTTAGGCTGAGTAAAAAACCTCAGCCATATACTGCTTGGAAGAAATGCACTTTATTTTTAAATTTTTAAAAAAGATTCATTTATTTATTTGAAACTCAGAGGTACATAGAGAGGGAAAGACAGAAAGAGAGAAGGAGATCATCCATCAGTGGTTCACACCTCAGATGGCTGCAATAGACAGGGCTTGACCAGACAGAAGCCAGAGCTTCTTGCACATCTCTCAGTTGGTGTCAGGGGCCCAAGAGCTTGGGTCATCTTCCACTGCTTCCCCTAGGCCATTATTAGGGAGCTGGATCAGAAGTGGAGCAGCCAGGACTCGACCCAGTGCCCATAGGGGATGCCAGCACTGCAGATGGCAGCTTTACCCACCATACCACAATGCTGGCTCCAGAAATGTACTTTAAACACAAACAAAAACAGATTTTTTAAGTGAAAGCATTGGAAAGATTTATCATGCAAATTTTAATCATGAAAAACTGGGAAGACTGTTAACATCAGACAAAGTAGTACATTTAACAATGACAAGTGGTTGATTTACCAGGAAGATATAGATAAGTATGACCCTAGAAACAGAGCTTCAAATTATGTAAGGCAGAATGCAGAGGGGGAAAAAGGTGAGAAATAAATAAATCCACAATTAGAATTATAGTTAATGGAAATTATAATAATGATTATAGTTAACAATTTTAACATTCTTCTAATACTTATTGGAGTAAGTAAATAAGTAAGTACTCTACAGACCTAGAAGTTGTGTACAACACTATGAGCCATTTATGCCTGAGACTGACAGAACACTATAATCAATAATTGCAAAACCCAGATTCTTTCCAAGTGTAAATAGAGCCATCAACAATATGTATCATATGCTGAGCTAAAAACTATCTCAAAGAATTCTTGTCATGAGAAGTGTGTTCCTTGACTGGAGTGACAGTAGTCCTATAGGCTTTTCTCGGGTGAAGAAGATGGTATGACCAAGTGGAAAAATGCTCCCATACAAAATGAACTTCCTTGCTGATCAGAGAATCTGTGCAGCTTGTTTATTTTAGGACTCTATTTCCTACAATATCAGGAAATAGTAGAAAACAAAAAAAATTCTACTATAGTCAAAGGAAATTTCTGTACAATTCAGGATATATAACTTGAGCAGAAATCTTATTAGCAAGTGTGAGCTTCACATCCTTAGAGAAAAAAAATCACTGGAGCTGAAATAAAAAACCTTGAGTCCTACAGGTAGCCATCAATTACAGATGACCTTGCTCAGGTCCTTGGCAGGTTTGTGGGAGCAAAATGCAGAACCGCAGATGAGGTGGTGCTCACTGGGAGTGCTTTCCCATCCAGTGGGCAACATGTTCAGTTCTGGGAGAGACATTGACAAACAAGGAGAGCTTCACAGTAACATGACCAGAAGGCAATGAGTCAAAAACTCACAATGTTGAAAAATTAGAGAAAAAGTCATGAATTTTTAACCTGGAATACATAGGCCAAAAGTAAGATGTTTATTTTATTACTGGAACATATATACATTTTTCTGCTTCTCGTCAGCAGAGAAAGTACCTTAAACAAAGGAGTAGTCTCCCCAACTTGAGATGGAGATGTTGGCCTGATTTCCTGTTTTCAAATATTAAGGAGCAACATTGTATAAAACGATCAGACTTAACTTTGGCAATATGTTCTGGTAGAGTAAGTCAGAGCTTGGTTCAAATCTTAGCTTAGCCACTAATTAAGTATGTAATTTCACATTTACTTTAATCTCTCTAGTCACCTGTTTCCTCGTTTTTAAAGCCTGGAAGATAGTATCCATTCCAGTAGGATTGGAAATAATGTATGCAATATTTGGTGCATAGTAAACACTTCACACATGGTAGCTAATATTATTACCCTATGTCACACTCACTTGAGTCAGGACTAATAAACAGAAGCCACAAAAGGATAAATCTGACATGGCAGATTTTTTAAAATCTAACAAGAAGTAGATTTTAACGGAATTAACTGCCTTGTAGGATTTTGAGCCAACATCTCCAAGACATTCATGTACAAATAGATGTCTGTGGTTCTGAGATATCTTTAAATAATTACTGTTAATGCCAGGGGAGTGAGACATAAGAAAACAATGGCTGAGGTCTTTTCCAAAGTAAAAATTATGCAATACAGGCTTCAGTCTCAGATATGTGCCTCTTGCATCTCTGGTCAACATTGCTTGCAATTCCGTGTGCTGCTCTGTTCTGCAAATGAAGAAACCATGATGCAAAAGTGTTTTGTAAACCATGAAGCATCATTTACATATAAGGGATTGTTTCCTAGATTTAAACTCAGTAGTCCATATAATCTCTTATGGTAGGTCTTTAGCTTCTTCTTGCAGATCCATATCCCTTCTTTTCAATAAGAGAGAACTGGGTGCCTTCCAAACACAGATTATCTCAACAGGGTTTGTTTTGCATATTTAATGGGTTAAACTCCATAAGCTGAAAAGTTGAAATGATGGTTGTCTGCTATTTCTGCTTCACTCACAGTCATTTTTCTTTTTTCTTTCTGCATGATTTAAATGGAAAAGTCTTTGTAGTCCAATTGTATCAGGTGAGTACCAAGTCATCCTTCAGTGCCTCACATCCAGGTTCTATTCACAAGGTGGATCTGAATGTATAATTTAGATACTATCATGAAGAGAAACAAATAGCCCAGATGAGAATAACCAGAAGAGAATTGGATCAGGAGAGTATTAGAGATGCAGGCCTGGGTGAACAGCCACTGATTCTTGTTGGATAATTTAGCAGGCTACTCACCTAGGAAAGCACTTTGATTCTACTATTTGTATAACTGATATGTGAGCCAATAGCCTGGACCATGGCTAAGTGGTGCTGATAATCTTGGAAGCAAGGAACTGGAGAGTCAGCTCTGAATAAGCCACTGTGCCACCTCGGCTTTGCTTTTCCAAGTTCTGTGCCCTACAGGATCTTCCACTGCAAAATGAAGATTGGGAGATAAATGACAGGTGTTTCCATTCTTTAACCTATTTTGCCTCCTGATGCCACCTAAAACATGCTTGTTGCTGCCTAAATTAATGGATTTGATCTGAGCTATTAAAGTTTGCTATTCTAAGCCCTTTTGTGATACACAATCCCAGAATATGGACAACTGCCCCAGGCTCCAAATAGTGGGTGCTCTTTGACCCAGAAAAGACCATCCCTAGCAAAAAGAGAGTTTTCCACCCTCTGACATTTGAGGCTCTTGTACTAGCAGCCTGGAGCCACTGTTTCTGTCCTTCCTCGAGTCCCCAGCACAAAGAAGATGGACCAGTTTCTCTCTTCTAATCATATGTACCTCCCCTTGTACCTGACTTTCTTAGGCTGCATCTTGACCCTCAAGTTTGTCTTTGATGTACAGAAATGTCTGCTGTGTGGTAGATGTGGGATTGGTGACACCCACTGTGATTTACTCTGGGCTTTACATGCTCCAAAGATGGCTCCAAGTACCCAAACTTTAAAGTCAGTCTACCTTAAAACCAGCTCTCACTTTCCTCCTATCCCTTACTACTTTGTGGCATTATATTGTATATCTATTTGCCTATTGTCCATCTTCCCTACTAGTACGTAAACTACATAAAGTTACGGATTTTATCTTTTTTGTTTGCCAGTATATATCTAGGGCCTGAAATTTTGCAAACCACGGTTGCAGATTCCAGTCCAATAGGATTCCGAGCCCTCTAGTCTGCCCTCCTCCTGTCTTCCATATGCTGAAGACTCCAAGGGGATCTGGAAACTGCTCACAGGTGCCGTCTTCTCCTCTCACAGAGCAGAAAACAGAAAACCAGAAATGTGCGATGTTTATCTAAGGCCACAAAGCCAGATAGCGGCAGAGACACTGGGGCTCTGTGCCTGCTGCCTTCTACTCTGCCAAACCACCAAGAAGCATTCCTGGCGGATAAATTCACTCCTCAGAGCTCTCCCCATTTGCTTGTACATCGAACAGGTATTAGTATATTTTTAACCTTTTGGTCACTTGAGCCCAGCCCCGAATTCCTAATGCCCATCACTTCCCAGCCCCATGGAGAGATCGGGGGAGAGATGCTCTCTTGGTTCTCCACCCAGGGCCATTGCTTCTCCCAAAGAGCTGGAAGCCTACTGCTCCACTGCTGCCCTACAGATCAGGCTGTGCCAGAGATTCCCAGCCCCTGACCATTGCCTCTGGCTCTCTTTGGGACACTGGAGACAGAGGGATGACAGGGCAGAGCCTGTGGCATCCCTGCTGATGAGGAAATCTCCCGGATTGCAAAGCCAGCTGTTAACACCAAGGACAGTCAACAGGAGGAACTACAGAGACAGATGCCTCCAGGCCTCAGTTACGTTGATTTTGAAAGGGTGTTGAGTGCCAGGGTCCACAACTCACCCTTTGCTTCACTGAGTAAGCCCTACAGCCTGAGGATTTAATGGAGACTGACAAGAGTGGGGATCTTCACATCAGGAAAATGTCAGAGACTCAAAAGGCCCCTACAGAAGAAATGACGCTCAACTGAGAGGAGGAGGGAAGACACAGAGGGAGGAGGGTTGCTGGGTCCTTACCAGGCAAGCTGGTTCCTATTTAAAGCATAAAAGATGAGAAACATGGGCATGACAACAATGACTGTCGTGACTGTTTTAATTAGAGAAAAATCAATAATACGTGTTATGGATGAAAGCGGGTTCGGCTTTGCTTGCTTCCACCGTCTGTTGTTCATGAACACGCAGGCACAGTGCTGTCAGTTTATGGTGTGCTGCCTACATGTCCTTTATCAATAGGCCAACCACGGAGGGGAGCCTGGGGACCCACTGTGGCAAGGGTGGGAGGGAGTGGCTGCAGTACAGTTAGGGGAAGAAGCCAAATGCCTTTCCTACCACCCACTGGGAGCCCTCCTTTCATTTCCCTCAGCTCCCTCTTTAAAGAGGTAACATAAAGAGAACAACTGGGGATGAGGGAGGAGGACATGCAGAAGGGAAAAAGAAAACTTGGGAACCGGGAAGTAACAAAAAAGAAGCAAAAAAAAGGCAAACCCACAAGCAGTTCAAGACTCCCACATGTAACTTTGCTCCTGCTTAGACATTTTGTAGCTCAAAGCAAGTGTATCTTGATCAAGAGATCATTGGGGCTATTTATTTTGGAATGACAGTTAACATATTCTTTTTTCTTCATTTTCCAATTTTTCTACAATAAGAATGGATTAACTAAATAAATAAGTGGCTCTGTCACTTATTAGCTGTGCTTCCTTGGACAACTCTCTTAACTTCTCTGCCTTCACGCCTCATTCTCATGGAATGGGAGATTAGTATACCATGATAGATTTTCCATAAACTAAGCACAGTTTCAAGCTTATATTAAATACTTCACAAAGGATTACTGGTATAGGATCTCAAAAATGTCATTTTATTTTTCCAAGAAGGGAGAAGAAAGTAGTTCATTAAAAGATGTGGTGGGGCTGGCGCTTTGGCGTAGCGGGTAAAGCCACTGCTTGCAGTGCCAGCATCCCATATGGGCGCTGGTTCATGTCCCAGCTGCTCCACTTTTGATCCAGATCCCTGTTATAGCCTGGAAAAGCAATAGAAGATGGTCCAAGTCCTCGTACCCCTGTACCCACATGGGAGACCTGGAAGAAGCTCCTGGCTCCTGGCTTCAAATCTGCGCAGCTCAGGCTGTTGCAACCAATTGGGGAGTGAACCAGCGGATGGAAGACACCTCTCTCTCTCTCTCTCTCTCTCTCTCTCTCTCTCTCTCTCTCTCTCTCTTTCTCCGCCTCTCCTTCTCTCTCTGTGTAACCCTGACTTTCAACTAAATAAATAAATCTTTAAAAAAAGATGTAGCCTGCAAAAAAAACCCTTCCAACTGACTGGGACCTCCCCCTACTTTGTGGTGTTACCAAGCTTTACTTTCTTTGTTTTTTCTGGGAAAAAAAATCAAAAGAAGCACCAGCCACTCACGTGTCACTCAGCACCTCTGAGCTTGGAAACTGCATCTAGATCTTCTGATGTGACTGTGTGCACAGTTGATCAGTCTTGCTTTCAGCATACACAGCTTTTCCACAGCAAAGCTCTATTAAGACTTAAAACGGGCAGCTCACTGCATAGAGCTGCCTGCAGCCACGCGAGCTTGCACACTGACCTCTGACTTTATATCTTCCTCATTATTTCTCCTTCTCTCGCTCCCTTCCTCCCTCCCTCTCTCCTCTGGAAAACATGATACATTAGCCAGATAACAGCAATTGTAGAAAGCATGAAGTACTCCAACTCTGGGTCCCATTTCCTCAGGTGAAACCAGGAGATTGATTGTTGTAAACTTATTTCCCCCTGGAAAATTCTATGTTGTGGTCAGCGATTTTGTTTTCCCCCAAAGCTAGTACATTACTTCTTTCAGCAATGTTAGAAGTCTACATTATTAAGCTTAACTTTTTTTTTTTACTATAAAGGAGATTTTATCCTTTATGGATAATCTCAGTCATTATTGACTTACAGGAGATGAGATGTTTGCCTAATGCCTTCCTGGTGGGAGAACATGCTGACCACAGGGACACAGATGATCTGATGGTAGCAAAACCAAAGCTGCCTCAGGCGTGTCCATGCAGAGGTGAGTAGAAACCTGGAATACAGAGCTGTGTGGAAGTCATGTCTGTTGCAGAACTTCATGATGCATGGCCAGGAAACTTTTATTCAGCACTGGATCCGTTTACTAAACTCAGCATAGGAACCAAGATGCACCCAAGTTGTCTGTCAATACAGAGAACGGAAGGAGATATTGCAGGAGAAATATTACAATGTAGTTGGTTCTCCAGACAGCCATCAGCGTTGCAGACTTCCAGTGATGGGCACCTGTAATGTTCCTTTGAAGCCATCCAAGAATGTAACCTGGTGTGGTGCTGAAAGAAAACTCAGATATGTACCTCTTTTTAAACAGATTTATTAATTTATTTGAAAGGCAGTGTTATAGAGAGAGAGAAGGGGAGAGAGAGAGAGAGAGAGAGAGAGAGAGAGAGAGAGATTTTCCATCTGCTGGTTCACTCCCCAAATGGCCACAATGGCCAAGACTGGGCCAGACCAAAGCCAGGGGCCAGGAGCTTCTTCTGGGTCTCCCATATGGGTGCAGGGGCCCAAGCACTTAGGCCATCTTCCACTGCTTTCCCAGGTGCATTAGCAGGGAGCTGAATCAGAAGTGGAGCAGCAGGACTCAAATAAATGCCCATGTGGGATGCCAGCACTGCAGAGAGCAGCTTTAATCCACTGAGCTGCAGCACCTGCCCCGATGTGTATCTTAAGTAACAGAAAGTCAACAGCCCTGAAAGCCACTCCTTATCAAGGATCACTTAAGATTTCTAGGAACACAAAAAGCATCTCTAATGAAGATGTGTTGATTGATCATAAGTCTTCAAGGGGGCAAGGAAATTTTTTTAATGATGTACTATCGATCATGAATTTGGAGGTATTTTCAGGTTTTAGGTCTGAAGACTTTACAGGAAAGTAGAGGAAGAGTGAAAGGCAAAGACCTGAATTACAGGCTTATTACGACAGGTTCATCAAGAGAACTAGTAGGTTTTTTTCTTTATTTCTTTCTTTCGACAGGCAAAGTAGACAGTGAGAGAGAGAGACAGAGAGAAAGGTCTTCCTTTTGCCGTTGGTTCACCCTCCAATGGCCACCATGGCTGGCGCGCTGCGGCCGGCGCACCACACTGATCCGATGGCAGGAGCCAAGTGCTTCTCCTGGTCTCCCATGGGGTGCAGGGCCTAAGCACTTGGGCCATCCTCCACTGCACTCCCCAGGCCACAGCAGAGAGCTGGCCTGGAGGAGGGGCAACCAGGACAGAATCTGGTGCCCCAACCGGGACTAGAACCCGGTGTGCCAGCGCCGCAGGCAGAGGATTAGCCTAGTGAGCCACGGCACTGGCTGTTCTCCTTGATAGGTGACAACTAACTGAGCACCAAAAAGGAAACCTGTTAAAGTGAAATGAACACTATGAGAAATGGTGACTTGATCAGCCCTCACCCTGACTGTTGATGAGCAACTTGATGTGTTATCCCTCTTAGGAATTTTTTTGTTTGTTCTACTTAATACTTTTGGTTGAATACTGTAATCAATACACAATTCTTCTTAAGTGCTGAAACTTAAGTGAAAAGTGATCACTGTTAAATGTAAGAGTGGGAATAAGAGAGGGAAGAGATGTGCAATTCGGGACATGCTCAAGCTGACTTACCTCAAACAGTAGAGTTAGAAACATACCAGGGGATTCCAATTCAATCCCATCAAGGTGGCATGTACCAATGCCATCTCACTAGTCCCAGTGATCAATTTCCGTTCACAATTGATCATAATGATAGGACTAAGAACCAAAGGGATCACATAAACAAGAATAGTGTCTGCAAATACTAGCTGATAGAATAAAAAAGGGAGAGAATGATCCAACATGGGAAGTGAGATACACAGCAGACTCATAGAATGGCAGATGTCCTAAACAGCACTCTGGCCTCAGAATCAGCCCTTAAGGCATGCAGATCCGGCTGAAAAGCCCATGAGAGTATTTCAGGCATGGAAAGCCAAGACACTCTGGGAGGGGAAAAAAAACCTAAATGAAAGATCTCTGCGAGTGAGATCCCAGTGGAAAGAATGGGTCATCAAAGAAGGAGGTACCTTTCTCTGAAGGGAGGAGAGAACTTCCACTTTGACCATGGCCTTGTCTAAATATGATCAGAGTCAGTGAACTCAGGGGGCTTCCATAGCCTTGGCAGCTCATGACAAGAGCCTAGGGTGATTACTGATGCCATAAACAAGAGTGTCAATTTGTTAAGTCAACAACAGGAGTCACTGTGCACTTACTCCTCATGTAGGATCTTTGTCCTTAGTGTGCTGTACATTGAGATTTAATGCTATAACTAGTACTCAAACAGTATTTTTCACTTTATGTTTCTGTGTGGGAGCAAACTGTTGAAATCTGTACTTAATGTATGCTAAACTGATCTTCTGTATATAAAGAGAATCGAAAATGAATCTTGATGTGAATGGAAGGGGAGAGGGAGTGGTAAAGGGGAGGGTTGCGGGTGGGAGGGACGTTATGGGGGGGAAGCCATTGTAATCCATAAGCTGTACTTTGGAAATTTATATTAATTAAATAAAAGTTTAAAAAAATATATAAAAGGAAAAAAAAAGAGAACTGGTAGGAAGGAGGAGGACTCACATTCGCCAATTTCAAAACCGACCAAAGCTGCAGTGATCAGGAAAAGGTGGTAGGGGAGAGGGGAGGAGAGGGGAGGAGAGGAGAGGGGATGGGAGGGGAGGGGAGGGGAGGAGAGGGGAGGGGAGGGGAAAGGAGGGGAGGGGTTTGGTGCGGAACCTTGGCCTCTCCTGGCCTGGCTGTTTCTGATGGAGTCCTGTGAAAATATCTCCGCTTGGTAACATATGCACAAGTACCGTGTGGGCCTCGCTGGCTCAGGATCTTGCAATACACAAAGGTTTCCACAGCCCAGTCTGATTTCTCAGTGTGTTAATAACGTCCGTCGGCCTTCCTATCGCTCAGAAAGTTTCAGTCCTGTGGCTCCGCGGCGGGTTTCGAGGAATCCCTCCCTAAATGAGGTGAGTGAACTCGTCAGTGTGTTGGTATTCAAGCTGTGGCCAGACAGTTAGAAAAACCGCGAGAGGGGTTAGCTCATAAAAGACAGTCAT